TTTTAGGAAGAGGGGCTAGCCAGAGTCAAGGGCCTGGGCGGGAAAGGACCGGGTCTGTTCTCAGAGCTGGAGAGGAGTGAGTGTGACCTGAGCTTAAAGGTAGCTGTCACAGACATGTGACTTGTGGGTGGGGCTAGTCCATGAATGACCTCGAGGGTCAAGTTAAGGAATTAAAATTTAGTTTTGGGGGGGAGGGGGGCAACAATGAGGACTTTCAAGGGAAGACATAAGAGGGTCAGAGGAGTCCCCATAAAGATGCTTCTGGCTGCTGGGAAAGCATGTTGGAGAACAGGCAAGGAGTGTCTGTGTTTGTCGTGGCAGACGTGTCCTTCTGCCCCTTGTCACGAGCACTGCACAGACTGGCAAATAAGACTGCCACATGCCATCTGGGACTCTACAGCTGGGAGGACACTCAGCCGGAGTAATGTGGGTTTGAGACTTCTGGATGTCACAGAGCAATGGAAAACACAGTAGGGACACACAGTCTCACAACTTTTATTCGGCTAGGGAGTCAAATCTCAGCTACCACCTAGTGTATAATCACTTTCCTTTCATAGAAGAGAAGCTATTTTAAAACCAGAAGTCTAAGGACACTCTCTCAGAGAAATAAGCCCAGTTTTATAGAAAACGTGCAACTTATATTTTTTACATTTTGCCTTAGAAGCAGGGAAAACCTCATGTGTGCACTGCACACACACACACTCATCAGTATTCAGACACCAACCCTAGCAAAGCAGCCCTGAGCCATCGCACGGAGGAGGCCCATGGCTTTCCCAGGGTCATGAGGTGAGTTAAGGGCAGAAAGCAGAGGCCGCAGTCTCCTGACTCTGGGTTAATTCTCTTCTATTACATCATCATGCTTTGTTTCAGCTCGTTTCTCCGACTCGGCCAAGGTTCAGATGCTGCCACCTATTCCTGTCTGGGGTGGAGTAGACTGGCCGTTTCCACTTCCTTGCCAGTATCTCTAATTCTTAAGACACTAATAACAAACAAGCATTTTGCAAAATAGCTCTCGGCCTGGAGCTTGGCAAAATGTGAACTTTTTTTTTTTTTCCTTTAAATTTTACAAAGAGTAAGGTGTGCCTCACCTGATCTTCAGATACGCCGCAACACCAAACACCAGCAACACCACGGCAATGACAGTCACCGTAATGGCGGCGATGCTGCCTGATGAGGAGAAAGGCACAGACAAGAAGATAAAGGAGAGAGTTTAATAACTTCGGAGTGAAATACCCAGCTTCTGCCTGACCCCATCTTTCTGAATTAGGGAAAGGTTTACTTCACATCGTTGTACATGGAATGTAAAATTCAGGATCATAACTCTGTTACCAAAAATGTTCTTTATGCTGGTAAGGTTTGGTATACAATCAATACTTATTTCAATTATTTGTTACTGCATTTTGGCTGGCCTAGAACTCAGAGAAGAGTACACAGTAATATTTGATTATTGTTTTTATTTTTTAAAGTTGACATACCTATTTCATCTATGAACTAGAGAATCAAGAGAGAGAGAGAGGGAGAGATAGACAGCACCCCTGACAGGGTCTCAATACACAATCTACCCCCAGCCTTCAGCCAGCTCGGGATCACGAGCACACATGTACTCAAAATAATCGGAGGTCTCTGGACCTGAACGAGAGCCCACCCATCTGGAACCCCCTTGCAGAACTTCGGGCTTCCCTGCTGCACCACTGTCTGGCCTTGGTGATTCTCTCCTTCTAAAAGAGTTTTTTAAAGTTTATTCATTTTAGGGACCAACAGATAGCATAATGGTTATGTCGCTGGATTCCTATGTAGTCGACTGTGGTTCGAGTCTCAGACCTGGCAGCTTAAAACTCATGTGGAGCGTGTGTGCCCAGAATCCTGAGAAGGGAATGGAGGAGAGGGGATTGTGGTATGGCCATGCCCCCTGGGGGGTGATTTCTCACTTTCTCTCTCTCTCAGCCAAGTATACATGCCCTATAATAAAAATCTCTCTCCATAAAAAAGAAAAAATGTTTATTCATAATAGAGAGCACGTGCATGGCAGGGGTGGGGGAGTAGGGGGAGCACCCTTGACAGAGTCTTGTCATGCCCATGATCCCTTTCCCCTAGCCTCTAGCCCATCAGGATCTTGAGTGGGCACGCACATGCCTGGCATGTTCTTAGGCTGACCTGGGGATGCTACCCTGTGTGTAGCCATGGGGCTTTCACCATGGCAATTCAGTTTGCTACTAACTGTGACGCCAGGGTTAGATCTGATTATCTTTTTAAGAATGACACTTGGGGCTGGCTAGTGGTGTTGTGGTTAAGGTGGTTGGATTCCACATGGCTGACTGGGCAGTTCAAGTCCTGGAGTCAGCAACTTGAAAAACACGCTGAGCGTGTGTACCCAAAGACCTGAAAGGAAAACGTAACAGGGATCACAGTGTGGCTGCACCCCGCACCCCCCCCCACCCCCCACCCCACACACACACATACACATACACACAGGTTGGGGTGGGATGCTTTCTCTCCTCTCTCTGTTCAGTGAACACATACACTTCTAGCAAGACTTTAAAAAAATGACACCAGGGCCATCATAGCCTAGCAGTGAGGGAGCTGAATTCCACATGGCAGACTGCTGTTCAAATTTAGGCCCAAGTGGCTTAAAAATCACACCTGGTGTGTGTGCTTGTATGTCCCAAATCCCAAAAGGATGGAGAAATGGAAGAGAAAGGATTGTGGAATGATTGTGCCCCCAGGGAGGTCCTGCCTCCCTTTTTCCTGTCTCTCTCTTTGGCTAGCACACATCCTCCTGGCAATTAAAAAAAAAGAATGACGCCAATCTGTTGCTGCTGCTGCGGTTTGCAGGAGTAAATGTTAAGTCTTTGGTGTTCTATTTTCTTCTTCTCTAGGCCTTGACTCATCTTTCTAGCAGTTGTGAAATATTGGAAGACTCAGGATGTTCTATTCAGGGGTCACTACAATGTATCCTGGTTGCGTTTATTTATTTATTTATTTTTGCTATAGGGCATGTGCATTCTCCAGACAGACAGAGAGAGACAGAGAGACAGAAAGTGAGAAATCACCCTCCAGGGGGGATGGCCACGCTGCAATCCCTTCTCCATTCTCTTGGGATCTTGGGCACGCATACACATGTGCCAGGCGTGAGTTCAAGTCGCTGGGTCCAGGACTCGAACCATAGTCGACTACATGGGAGCCCAGCGACATAGCCATTACGCCAACTGCTGGTCCCTGTGGTTGTGCTTTTAATAGACCAGAACCACACACATATCTCTATCAGAGTGTCCACTTTAAAATCACCTTGGCAAAAGGGTTCATTTTAGTGATACCATCACATCAAAGCGTTTAAAAAAACTCCCCTTTGGAAAATATGTCCAGTTTTCACCCTGGAATCATAAATTTAGTTTTTATAGAAAATAAAGTTTGGTGCATAGAAGGTCAAGCCTGGTAGGTAACACTATTTTGTTGTTGTTGTTGTTGTTGTTGTTGCTTATAGAAGTAACAAGGTACAATTATAAAGTAACATGAATGTTTTATTCTGCAGTTTGAAATCTGGTTCCAAAAGCAGCTATTAATAGGCAGGTTAAAAAAAAAAAACCTCTTTGAGCATGTAATCTTGTAAGAATAACCAAACTGCCTCCACAGAGTACTCCTTTGAAGCACAACGCTCTTTTTGTGTGAGCTTTGGACTAACAGTGTATACATTTCAGTTTTATTTCACCTTAGAAATGCCAAGAATCAATTGGACTCTTGTCCCCTAATACTTAAAGTGACTTTTTGGCACTAAAGCTGGTATTAAGGATCCCATTTACTTTCAGGCCACTGGGAAATTATTTACTACTTCAGCAAGTGAATGAGACTCTTCTAAAATACACTGGAAAGACCGTAAGAGGTTTGGAGCTAGACTGTAAGGATTCGAGCGTGGTTCAATCATTATTAGCTGTGTAACCGTGAGCTATTTCCTTCAGCTGGCCAGCTCTTACCCTGCTCACCTGCAGAGGCAGAGGAATAAGAAATAATACCTCACACAACGTTGAGAGGATTAAACGAGGTGCCATGTGCACAGTCGAAAGTATGAGCCAAACGTATCATCCTGGATCAATACCCATCTCAGGGGCTAGGTCTCAAAAGAGATGAATTTCCCTTACATTTTTGGAGAGTTATCATTTTGGAGATTATTTTACCTTTTCTCCTTTTAATTTTTTTCCCTCTGGTTTGAATAGTTTTTGTTTATTGTTTTTTTTTTTCTTGAATTAGCCCTTCCACCAAAAGAATTACAACATAGCTTAGAAGTACGTCAGTCTACTTACTGTTTAGTAACTCCCCAAAAGTTTTAAGTGAGAGAAGGCTACATCAGACACCCATGATGGTTATAATTTCTAAAAGAGGATCAGAGGATCATTGCTAATATCAAGACTAAGAGGGACCAGCAGTTGGCATAATGGTTATGTCGCTGGACTCTCATGTAGTCGACCACAGTTCAAGTCCTGGACCCGGTGGATTAAACTCACACCACACGTGTGTGCATGCCCGAGATCCCGAGAGGAGAATGGAGGAGAAGGGATCGTGGCATGGCCATTACCCCAGGGGGTGATTTCTTGCTTTCTGTCTCTCTGTCTCTGTCTTTCTGGTGAGTGCACACATCCTATAGTAAAAACCTCTAAAAAAAAAAAAAAAAAAAAAAAAAAAACAAAGGGTTGTTTGGGCGTGCAAGAACG